AACTCACCTAATAAAATTTCAAATAAAACCATATAGTAATAAAAACGATTATCTTTTCGTTCTCTCTATAATGGACAATTATTTTTATAGTAGATCGATATTATTTTAAAGAATCAAATACTTATCTACTATACTATCTATACTATAACTATATACATTACAATTTTTCTCGAACATTTATGATTAAATTTTAAAATTATCTTAAATTTTATTTTATTATTTTGAATTTGATTGATTTTTAGTGAAAAAATATTTTAACTTAAATTTCATAGTTTATTTTTATTTATCATTTATATTATTATTTAAAAAAAACATTTTATTATAACTGAAAGGAAATGAAATCAAATTTTAAACGATATATCAGCTTAAAATTAACGATTAGGCTTTGGGTTTCATATTGTTTAAAATTTCCATGTTTTTTCCCTTTTAAAAATTTTTGATTTATTCTATTCTAAATATATTAAAAACAATTTTCCCTTGATAGATAGACTAGATATACAGTTATAGAGTGTTTGTATGTGTAATTAACAATGCCGGGTATATAATATCTATAAAATTTTCAATCCATTGACCACTATCCACCGTCATCTTTATGATTGCTATTTAATTAATTAAATATAAGATTGAGTTAAACTTCAAGTATGAAATAAAAAATTTCTACATATAAGTGATTAATTAATGTTTTAAGAAAAGAAAGATCTTCATTAGAGAACCATTCTATTAATATATTCATTTTTCTTTGAAAATTTTATCAGCAGAATCATGGATAAAGTATAAAAAGTTTGCAGTCAGGTAGAAGAACCAAGAAACTCCTACTCCCCTCTCTAGAATAAATCTTTGAGACTATGTTTATGTTGGTATTTTTTAAAGTTAAATCTTAGCAATTTTCAATAGAAATCTCTTATAGATTATAATTCTAATTTGTTAAAATGTTTAGAAATAATTATCATACTCGACAATATGCCTTTTTCAATTAATATTTCATATAATAAATAAATCTAATTAATTTAATTTTTTTTTTAAAAAAACCTGCTTTAAATGACCGTTTGAAGGCTTAAAATTTATCTAATGATATGATATGGTTTTAATTATCAATTATATTTTATACTCTTTTTATTTTATATCCTTGATAAATTTATTTGATCTGATCGTAATCTTATTAAAATTTAAAATAATTAATTTTTTAAAAAAAATAAAAATAATTTATTTTTTAAGTTATGAATTCTTAGATTTTTATAGTAATATATTTTTTATAAATATTTTAATCTCTATAAAAGAAAAAAGGATGAGAGGATTAAATAGATATTTTATATAAAAAATTTTAGAAAAATATATAAAATAAATTTTCGACCGACTTAAAACTTAGCAATAATTAGTCAGTGTATTAATTCGATATATAATATAAATATAAATATAGGAAATTTTGTACTTATATTTGACTTTATAATAAATCAAAGGATCATTTTGTCACAAATATCATATATATACTAAGCTTACTTAGTAAGTTACGTTTGAATTTAGAATTTTATTATATGATTAATGGAAATATATATATATATATATTAAGTAGTTAAAAAAACATATTTTAAATTTAGAAAAATTTGGGATTATGGAAGAGAGGAATGGAAAGATATATTATCCTGACTTGCTTCGCTAAAGTATTTTTAATCTCTTATTTTTTGCACAATATTATTGAAATCCGATCTAGGGGGTTTAAGGGCTGAAAGTTTACTTCTTCTCATGATAGTCGCCAGATATGTATTCCTAACTTCTTGAGGGAAGAAAGTTTCCGCCATTTCTATTCTCATCATATAATCTCATATATATGATATAGCTAAAATATATGGATAATTTACAAACTTGGCTAGTTTACTAAATATCTAGCTATTATACAAACCATTAAAGAATAATTTTAGCGGTATTTTTATAATCTCCTCCACGAATTCGCACTAACTGTGAATGCAGTGTTACTCCTTATCATTTTTGTAATTTTAATTATACTCCCAGAGAGTTGCTGTTCGATTTGCTATCAGAGTTTCTTATTTAACTTCGGGATCGAATTATTTTTTTTCCATAACATTTTGCTTAGTATCTAAAAGAAATTGGCATAAGTTTCCTTAATAGGAGGTTGTGATAGCAACGTGTTGTTTGTACATGAGCTGTAACATACATATTAAATTAAAAATCTATAGATACTTATATACAATATATAAGGCAATTAGATTCCCACTTTTAGTTGAAACCGTTTCTAATTTATTGATAGTTTTTTTACAGAACTAATCAAACTTCCGTAATATAATATTAAATCTTTTTATAATTAGATTAATGGATGAATGATTTAAAATCATCAAATAAAATATATTATTATAATTCTCATCAATATAAGTCATAAATTAGTTTAATAACATTTTACAATATACTATTTTGCCCTACCTGTAATTAATTCATAGATATGCACATATAGCTTATAATTATAATAAAAATGAATATATAAAAATTATCATAATTTAATTATTTCACCCGGTTAATTCATCATCTTTTTCCATTTTTATTTAATTTTTCTCATTTGTAATTTTTTTAATCATTAATTAAAATTTTTAAGATAAACATGATTTATCTTATTTTAAAAAAAACTCGCAAAAATAATATATATTTACCAAAGGTAGAAATGTTAAAAGTAAAATTCTAACAATAAAATAATAATCTCCTTGAATAAATTAGACTTACATTTTAACAAATTTTAATTTTCGATAAGAATAAAATTATAATTTTTATAAATCGTGAATTATGATGTATCACCATTTCATGAATGAGGACCAAGAAATAATCACCCCCTCAATTGTAAATTTTTTTTTAAAGAAAAATATATATAGTAAGTACATTAACAACATTTATGTGTAATTTAATTTTAAGGTATAAAAATGTAAAACATATTTTTTTTTTAAAAAAAACATTTTTACCTTATATTATAATAATTCTGCCACAATTCCGAAGCCCACTCATAATTATGATTGTATCGATGTTAAAAAAAATTCATAATTTATGACATCAACCAAAAAACTATTAATCTTCCTTTTTAAAAAATATTATGAATGACTATTTTATATTACAATGTTATAAACATGACATCAATTTTTTTTTTGTAAAAAATAATATAATAAATAGTTAAACACCTAAACACCTTTCAATGATTTTAGTATTTGTTGAATAAAATGCACAAAATTATGGTTAGATAGAAGAATAAATTCATCCTGTCAATAGTTAATTATTAAGCGTATAAAAAAAATTAACTTTTGAACTATTATAGATTATTATAATAGCGCAGGACATTTTAACACGGGAAGGTGAACTCAGGGTTTAATTTTATGGTCAACATAAATTAAGCTAGAGAGGGACAGCATCATTGAATTAGAACGATATAGCTCTATGATATCCGATTAGTTATCGGAGTTTTATTTTATATCCATGAAGGATTATACTTTATTAGATTTTGTTATTGACCCTAACTGAGTCATGTCTTCTTTTAAGTTTTATGGAGCGAATTACCCCTGGTGGATTAGTAGTTCCTACAACAAGGACATGGTGAGGGCGAAGTAAATGCTTCATTAACTTTGCAAAGTGTATATTCGAAGCAATTGTTTTCAAACTATAAACTGATAAGCAGATTTAATTTAAAACACTTCCATATTTTTTAATTCGTTTGTAAAATAAAATTTTTTAACTTCTAAAAATTGATAAGATATATAGATGTTATTTTAACAATTTTTTCGCAAATCAAATAATTTTATTTTCAAATTAATAGATAAATATGGAAATGCTTTGAAATATGCACAATACTTTATATGTCCTCATATTGTTAAAATTTTTATTTGTCTTTTATACATTAATGAAATAGTTTATGGTAAAAAAAAATCTAATTAAATTTCAAAATGAAACTTAAACATTCATTTCTTAATATCGAATAATACATTATCAGAGACTTCTGCTAAATAAATGATTGTCCAAGGAAAATAATTTTTATATGAACGATAACTTTCTTCTTATTTATGGGAGAGGGTAGTTTTTGTTTATACTTCTCTGACTTAAAAAATTTTGACCATTCTATTCTAGTGAAAAGTGAAAAGTATTTTTTTTTAAACTATTAACTTCATATAAATATTTATAATATTTATTAGGTTATAAATGTAAAGTAAAATTTATAGATTAATATTTTGTTTTCAAGAGAAAATATAATATAGAATTATATATATAATAATTAAAATTTGACTTTTTGAAAGTATGAAAAGAAAGACAAAATATCAAAAACTAAACTACACACTTAAAAATTTTTTAATACATAATATCATAAAAAGAGTTTAAAATAAATTATACAAGTAGAATAGACGAGTGTATAATTAGCTTAATTAGCATTTTTATTTATTTTTTATAATTTTTTAAAATTTAAATTTTTTTTTCGTGATGATTATCACTTAATGACGACAATTTTTTTTAATGATAATATTATTCATCTTCTATCTTTCCTTAAAATTTAAAATTTTATTATAATATTTTAATTTTATTTTTTACCTATTATATGAATGATATAAATTATATTATTTTTTTAAAAAAAATAAAATAGGGAAAAAGATGTTAGGAAAATAATTTTATGAATATTTTATATTTATGAATGAGATAGCTTATTGTATCAAACTTCTTTTTTTTTATAAAGGAGAAAAAAAGGTGTTTGGATAAATTCAATGTAATTTTTTTTTTAAAATATGAGGAAATATATTTGCACCGAAAAATTTAACGACAGTAAAAAAAAAATAATATCGGAAATTTCTGATATTTCTAATTTTATAAAAAATAATTTATCGGATATCAATAATTGATCCAATTTATCTTTTTGGCTAAAAAAAAATATTTTTTGAATCATATAAAAATGATTATAATTAAATTATATTAAATATAAAAAAAATACAAAAATTAATCCCGTTAATATATAACGTATTTGATCTTAAAATAAATTGTCCAAAAATTCTGTATTCCAAATTTGTTCGTTATTTACCTATTTATTCCTTTCAACAAAAAGAGATTATTTTTGTAAGTTATTTCCTTTATATCTATGAATGATTCTAAACTACTAAATGCCATTTTTTTTAAAAAAAATATACATTAATTAATTACATTTTTTTTGGAGAAAATAATTCGAATGTATAATATGGAGATTCATGTTATTACTATTAATATTAAAATACTTTTATACCGGATAGGAAATATAAATCTGATGATATGAGAATGCCATATCGGAATATTTTGTAAATAAGTCGCAGGTAGTGTTGTTAAACGGCTCCTTTTGATTTGAATTTTAAAAATGGCTAACTCAATATTTCATCTAAAATAATATTACGCAGGCCTGAAGATTTTGTTTGTAGGAATAAAGGTTTGGACATCTATTAGCGAGATCTCGAGGCTAAGGCAATATTTTTCTGACTAAAACATTGAGTTAGCCGTAATTCGGGCTCAAAACGAATCGTTTAACAACGCTACTCACAGGGGTTTAACAAATCTGAGGTTTCAAATGAAAATTTTAAAAATTAAATTAAAATTAATTTATTAGCGCGCTATTTTTTAATTTTTGAAAGATCGCATTTTACTGGAATCGTGTTTTAACATAAATGGATAAATTTCAAAAATATTTACCGTGAGTTTTTAAAAAAAAAAATTACACCCTTAATTTATATTGATTTTTTTTTATATACATTCTCTCTATAATTTATTATAATATACCTGAATTATACATGTTTAAAAAAAAATGACACTATAGGTAAACAATTTAAGTTTTAAAAAATTTGCTATAAAATCCGGATCAATAATGCATACACCTTAAACGACCCTTACCACCTCCTTCTTTTATGCTGAAGCAATATTATTGTAAAGCTATCGAATACTATTAAAATAACTCGATTCTTTGTTCAAGAAGACGATTCTAATTTTTATTTATTTTAAAAATTTTAATTTTGACTTCTTTAGATCATTGGTTTTTTTTTCCTCTAAATTTTTAAAGAATGAAATGATAGAATTATGCATTTTAATGCGAATTTTGTGATAATGAGAATAATTTTTTCCCAATAATTAATATAATGGCCCGGATTTTGTAAAATAAAATTTAGAGATTTTGGCTCTTTCGCGCTCCCTCTGGCTTTAGCCCGAGCTTACATATCTCTAATAGAGATTTAAAAAATAATAAGGATTTATCATTCATAATCTTCTGTATGCAGAAAATACTATATATAATATTCTATTTGAACTACAAATTGATATTCCTTGTGTTTCTTGAAACATATGTAAAAATTTTAAAAAAATACTCTAATATTTTATATAAACAAATCTTGGGATTTGAGTTAGGGTTCAAATCCTATCCGATTTAATTGCTCTATATTCTTTGAGCTCATAAAATCGAAACTTACAACTTGTCGAATTTTCCCTTTTTTACAGTTATTGATTGAATTTTTTTTTAAATATTTCAATTTTTTTTTAAAAAAAAGAAATAAATGAAATAAAAATTCACCGCAATTTTATTTGTTTAATCGTATGGAAAATAATTTTTTTAAAAAAATTTTTTCTTCTTTAGTTAAATGATAAAATGTTGAAAATGTAAATATTTGCTTTAGAAAGAAATAGTTATAAAGACAAAAAAAATTACATATATAATTACAATGAAATATTGTGAAAGTTTTCAAAAAAAAATATAATCTATTTTCATATTTTTCCATATTAATTAAATATAATTATTTTTGTATATTTTATGCTTTCAAGCTATTTCAAGAGTATTCTAGACAATTTTTCCCTATCAAGTTAAATGCACCAAGGTTTACCCTTACCTATATTGTACCAGCATGAAAATGGAGTTGTACTACCTAATCAAGATTTCTATGGTCAAAATCAACATTTATCGGAACAAATTCATAATTTGGATTTAAGCGATAGATTCTTGGATGATATAATCAATTACAATGCGAACGAACTATTATCAGACAGACACCTAAAAGTTAACGGGTAAACCTTTCATTAATTAATTGTTAAATATCTCGTTTTGATCATTTAAAACACACTTTCAATGAGTTTGTTATCAAATGTTATTTTTTATACCAAACCAAATTATATTACTTCATAACTTCCTTTTTTTTTACAAAAAGACAAAAAAATTATAGTTTATTTATACACCCCTATTAAATTATAATAAAATAAACTTTTAATTAAAAATTATTAATTCTATTAACCTGCAATTAAATTAAAATTTGATAGAATTGAAATTATTAACGAGATTATATTATTTTTTTAATGAATTTTGATATCACCTTTGCATTTAATTACAAATTTCAAATCAGAATTTTATTTCTTAAAATATTTGTAATGACATTATGGCTAGATTTTAAAAAAATGGCTAATCCAATATTTTAACAAAAAAAAGCGCAATCATAGTCTTAGGGAATGGTGATTCTAAGCATGTTTGGCGTACTAAATTATTTTTAAAAAAATATTTTCATGGTATACATAAGCTGCTAGCCAGTTATTTACGAAAAAAAATATACGCAATCTCATTGGTGATGTGGAAAATTTTATAATGATTTAATCAGTAATGATTTGATGACAAATTCCTATGCATTTATTTACATTTAAAAGAACTAACCCATTCATTCTAATTTCTGAGATAATATATTTCTCTAGATAAGTTTTTATTCTGGTTAGAAGAAAAAAAATTCTTTAATTTATATAACTGGTATAGAAAGAAAGAATACTGGTCAAAAATAATTTAATTACAACAGGAAAATACTATTTGATTAGTAAGGAATGATTACTTGTCATTTTACTGAATTTTAAAAAAAACTATCCAAAAGAGATTTATTTTATATAAGTCGAAACATTAGAATATCAAATTCATATTGTTCTGGTTTGAAACTGAAAGATAACCTAATTGATGAAATTTCTTATCAACATTCGCCCTAATTTCTATAAGCTCCTTGTATCATTTTTGCTATTTTTATGATAAATTTATATTTTTCTTTTTTTGACATAGCACTCACATTCTAATGCAAAAAAAATAAATATAATTTATCGAAGAGGAGGCCTTCTTATGAGGATTTTTTTTTCTCATTCTTTCTTTCTTTCTTTCTTTCTTTAGTGATGCTTAATAGCGAAATAAATGTAATCTCCTTTTTAGCTGTGTGGAGGATATATCCAAAATTAGTCTTATACATATAGTTTAGGATTCATTTGAGATATCAGGTGGGCATGGCACTAGAGTGACCGCTTTTTCCTAAAATTATATTTATATCCTCTTTTAGATTTAGACATATGATATTACATTAAAAAAATATATTCAATTTTATAGAAGTTGAATCGTTTATCATAATTTACCAAAATTTTCAAACAATTTATTTTATTAATATATAATATATAATATAATATACTTACTTAATATTATAAAATATTCAATTCCCAATCCCATGTATAAAATACTTAAATTTATAATAAAAAAGGAACATAAAACTTTTTTAAAAAAATCTTTTCAAAATGTATTTTTTTTAGAAGGGATTTCCTCCTGAAAATGTTTCAATCGCTTAAAATATATGAATAATTCATTAATCGCAGGGAAAAAAAAATATTCAAAATATTTGCAAAAAACTCATAAAAATAAAACTTAATGTTATTTCGATTATATTTGAAATGACATAAATTATATATGTATATTACAATAAAAAAAATTATAATAAAATAATTAGTGGTTATTATTATATATGCAATAATTATAGATTTTTTTGTTTTATTGTTGCAAAAAATGAGAATAGAAGATCTGATAAATTAAAGAAAACAGTGCAGCAGATAACACATTTACAGTAGTTTATTTTTCCTTCACACATTAGGTAAATGTACAAATAAATGGTTAATAATATCTGGCGTCTGTCATGGTATAGCAATTTACAAAAAAAACCATCAATTATTAAAATGCGATAATTATATCAAGTGAATCATGTGGCCGATTCCGACCTACCCCAGTGTACAAAATTACCAAGGTACTTATAAGACAAATAATTGATCCTTCCTGGATTCATTTAACCAGCCTATATATTGAAATCTCAATCAACATCTATAGCAACTGAGCCACATATGATACTCAATAGCAACAATTTTATATATATGTGTGTCGTATGAGGTTTCGGAATCCGTGGGAATTCGGAATCTCTCAATTTTAAATCAATTACTAAGGACGATTTTTGGATTTTAAAAGTATGATTTTACAGGAATTGTATTCCAGCATGTGTAGAGTATTTACCCTATAAATTTCAGCCATTTTCAGCGATAGACATTTTTTTTTTAATTTATATGAAAAATCCATACAAAAATTAATGTAAATTAGAAGTAGTTCTAAAGTTCATGGCAATATTGTTTGAAATTTACAGTTTGGGTGCTCTAGCCATACTAGAATACATTTCCGGTTAAATCGGACTTTAAAATTTTTTAAATCGCTCTCGGTAAAGGATTTTAAATCAAGAGATTCCGAGTCCCCACGGATTCCGAATCCCAATACGACATATAAATAATTTTATGACGTTATTTAATATTTTACCAAAAATATTTTAAAAAATCAATAACGTTCCAAACGCTATTCATCATAATCCCCCAAAGTGGGGGGAATTTTTTTTTAGAATAAATAGATAAATTTAAAAATAACAGAAAAATTATTATTTTTTCAAATTTATTTTTTAAAAAAAATCTCTTTTACTTAGATTTTATTTTAATGGAAATTAATATAAAATTTTCCGAAAGGTTTTAAGTGATTTAAAGGTTGGAAGAATATCTAACCCAAAACTGGAAGCATTTTAGTACCATTAGAAACCTATTTATTCAGGAACTTGATCCGAGTAAAAAAAAATTGTAAAAATTTTTCCCAACTTATCCGATACTTTTTTTCAGATAAACGAATCCCATCCATCCAAATTATTATTTTTTTAAAGAAAAAAAAGAAAATTGACCATAATCTCCTATCTAGAAAAAAACAAAATTTAAAAAAAAATATAAGACTAAGGATAAAACATAAAATAAGATTTTCAAGGAATGCAGAAAAATTGTAAGTGCTAAGTAGTATTGTTAAACGAAGCCTTGAGATTTCGCTAATTGATGATACAAACCTTCCTGCCACATATGAGTGAAAATCTTTAGGCTTGTGTTAGATTTTTCTGGATAAAATCGGCTCGAATCGAGTCATTTAACAACACTAATGCTAAGAGATATGAAAAGAAATTGGTATTGATAAGAATATCTATAAAAATATTTGAAAACTATATAAATATCGTTTATGAAAAAATAGATAAATAATTATACAAAATATAATGAGTTTATTAAAGTATATTTCAGATTAACTTGAAACAATCTTAACAAGTAGATTCCACCTTCGGCCTTTCCTATCATCTATATATTTTATTGAATATCTAAAGGTGACCCTTATATTATGAAAATTGTTTATATCTTAAGGATGAGTGATAACGTTAAGAATATTCCTCCAATGGCTTAATAAAAAAAAATGGCAGAAAAATTGAAATATCAAAAGACGAATGTTCCAGAAAAATATATCCGATTTTATTTCTATTCTAATAAAGAACACATTTCATTTTTGAATGCATCTTTCTTCTTTCTTTAAATTGATATTTGAGGGTGGAAGAAACTATTTAAACACACTCTGTATATGAAATGTTACAGAGGTAACCGGGGCATGTTGAGTACAGGGGAGCGTTAGCCCATTCCAATTATAATTTTCTATTACTTTATAAGTCCGAGGAAAATCAAACCCAATGTATAGATAATTAAGTGATACATGAAAGTTTTGAAAAATATTTAGTATTTTAATTTTTACAGAGAGAAATGTGTTTTAACATATTAAAAGTACGAAAAAATAATTTCAATCATATAAATAAAACTTTTAAAATCTTAAATGAATTTTAGGAAAGTTAAAACCATATTTCTTAATCTGACAACTTTTTTTAACACATAAATTAATATGATTCTGAATGATAAATATAAGTGGATTAGGTGGTTGGTCTTAGTATAGTTAGGTCTTATTAATTATTGCATATTTATATTTTTACTCTGATTAAAACAAGTGCAAATAATTTTCATTGAATATTTTTCAAGAAAATATTAATTTTTAATATAGCTAGATTCACTTTTTCTTCCTTATATTCTAATCATTTTACTATATTTCACCTTTATATTATTTAATTTGGATTTTTCGTACATCAATTTTTGTAAATAATTTATAATAGATATATACTTTAAATAATATTTTATTTTAATTTCTTATAAAAATTCCTATATTTCTATATTCTTAAATTCTCTAAATTATATATAATTTACTTAATCATTGCGTATTATATTACAATAAAATAACATGCTTTAAGTAGTGTTGTTAAAAAGCCCGATTAAAGTCGATTTTTATTAACGGCCGAATTACATCTTAGCAAAAATAATATTATATAAGCTTTGAGATTTCTCAAATAGATATCCAAACCTTTCTGTTATTTATGGGCAAAATCTCCAGGCTTACATATTTTGGTCATAATCTTAATCGGGCCATTTTAAAAAATTGACCTGAATCAGGTTTTTAACAACATTACTTTAAAGCCTTTAGTATTATAACGATATATAAAAAAAATTATATTTTATATTTTAACTTCTATTTCATGAGTGAACCAACTATCACATATAAGTGGCCCAACGTATCCAAAGTATAGCTGTCTTGGGCCAAAAAAAATTTACCCAGGTTCAATTTTCTAAAAATGTATTTAAACGGCCTCTACTCTTAGGAGTCAGAAGATGTTTTATTTATTCAGATTAGTCTAAATATTATTGAATTTATTCAGGTTTTAACGAAAATTGTCCCAACCATCCCCTAGTTTCTACGATACAAACATAAGTCAAATGGATCTTATTTTATATTCGATTAATTCTATCGATCTTGATAAAAAAAAATTATTGCAAAATTATTGTAATTCTTTCAA